TTTGCCAAGTGAACGGTGCCCATCGCCTCGAACAGGGACTTTTCCCGGGAGAGTGACTGATCCGAGGGATCGTCCCCACCTTGCGACAGGGCCTGGCCTGGCACAGGGACCAGAAGCCGTTTCGGAAGGTGCGCCACCAGGCCTACGTCGGCAGGGAGCGGGCCATCAACCGGCTGGCGGAGCAGTTCCGCGCCCCCCCCGGGCATGACTACGGTCGTGGGCGTGGGCAACTGGTCGGCCCATGACCGGGGGGGCATCATGCGGGGGACTCCGCCGGGGCCCTGGATCAAGTCCTTGCGGCGCCTGCGGCGGGTGTGCAGGGTGGTGGTGGTTGACGAGCACAGGACTTCCAAACTGTGCTGCGCCTGTCACGCCACCCTGCACGCCCACCAGTACGTGCGGGTCCGCAACGGCGAGGAGAAGCTGGTGGACGTGTGGGACACGAAGCGGTGCGGCAACAAGGCCTGCAGAGTTCATGTCGTCAACCGCGACGTGAACGGGGCTGCCAACATGCTGATGCTGACGAAGTGCTTTTTTGCGAATGCACTTCGTCCCACAGCTTTTGGTGGACCCCCTGCTTCCCCTTCTTCCACCCTCCCACCCCCCCCACCCCCTCTGGTTCGCCGATCGAGGCAAACAACTGCGCCAGTCAGATCCCGCTTGCGGGAAGCAGCTGTGCAACCGGCGCAAGCCCGGTAGGGATCTATTTGCCTAAGCAAAATAGATCCCGCCGACTTCCGAACCCTAGGCACTCATATCTTCAGCGAGCGCAGAGCGCACGCAACACATGCGCTCTGCGCAGCGCAATCATGCTCATGCAATGCAGTTACATATTGTTCACATTACAGCAGAAGTCACCACAGAACCATTGTTTCAGCTTGTGTACTCCTCATTCAAGCCTGTGAATCTTGCATCATGAAGTCTGCCTCTGTTGTTGCGCTCGTGGCGGCTGTCCTCCTGGTCGGATCAGGTGGGCAGGCTCCGGACACCGCATGCATCGTTGACGCACTGCATCATTGGGCCTCGATAAAAGTACAGGCATCAAAGGGTTTGTCATATAATGTCGGGTCGATACGCACAACTGCACCATCTCACATGTACTCCCCATGCACCCACGTGCAGCGACGGCACAGACCTCTCCGACCTTGGCGTTCGCCGAGACGGTCCCTGAGCTCTCGAACTTCACTGCTGCCCTGGAGGTGAGGCGTCCCTGGAATGATGGCTTAGGTCTGAGCCATGAACTCAGCTTCCAATGTACTGATGGCATGTACTGAGATGTAGTGAAGTCCCCCCCTCCTCCTCACCTTCCTGCGTGCAGTTCTCCAGGCTGTACGAGGTGCTGGATGGCCCTGACGGCCCGTACACCATTTTTGCGCCCACCAACGAGGGCTTTGTGACTTCCCTGACGCCCTTTGAGTCGACCGTGGAGGACTTCCTGACTGGCGGGTCGGATGAGGCTGCGCACACCGGCGACGTGAGTCCTGGTTGGGAAGGGGCAAGGGGTGAGGCCTTGAGCGCGGCTGCCCGTGACAGCAGCGGAGTTTGTGATGGGCAGCGCATGGCTCTGCTACGTTTGCCACTGCCAAGCGCATGCACCTCAGTCCGCCCCCTGTCATGGCGCACCCCTGCAGCACCTCAAGTACCACGTCGTGCGAGGCACCGTGCGCGCCGCGGACCTCTCCCCCGGCCTCGTGCTGAACTCCATCATGGACAACGGCGCGGCCTTCACGGTGAGCTCCCCATGTTCAAGGGAGGGCTGGGCTGTGTTCCATGTCGGGCATGTGGGCCAAGCCCCGAGATGGGCGGCACCCAACCCTGGGTCGGGCCGCAGGGTGACTGAACTTGCCCCCTCACTAAACCCCTTCCCCGTCCATCAACCCCCCACCCACCTCGCCCATCCCCCACCTTGCGTGCAAATGCAGATCCAGGAGAGCCGCTACAACGCCGGCCAGTTCTACGCGGTCGGGAACAACACCTACTACGAGCGCGGCAACCGCGGCAAGATCCTGGAGGCCGACATTGCCGTCCCCGGCTCCGAGAACATTGTGCACATCATCAACCAGTTCCTCTTCACTGAAGACGAGTAGGTGCCCCGTCCTCTCCCATTCTTCTGTCCGCCATCCACCAGCGCGCGTGCGCATCAGGTCTAGAGGGAAAGTGAAGTGACATACCTCCTCGCAAGCGTACCGCCCTTGAGCCCATTACGTTCATGGCGGTGTCCATCCCTGTAACGACAGTGTGAGTGCCTCGTACACAGTGCAAGAGGGGTAGGCAAGGGTACTGCATGCTGGAAGGGGTTGGGACAGGCAAGGCCGGCTTGCTCAAGTGGCCATCCTGTAGACTGGACCCGGGCAGCAGCAGGCTGCCCAGAGGCTTGGTGGCGAGGCCGGGCAAGCGGCGCGCCGGAAGACGCCTCGCGCCTCTCCCGCGCCGGTCAGCGCGCGCCCCCCCTCAGTACCCCAGGCCCATGCACACGGTCTTCATGTCCAGGAAGCCGTCCAGTGCATACTTGGACTCCTCCCTGCCCTGGCCGGAGTGCTTGACCCCTCCGAAGGGGGCAACATCCGAGGTGATGGCCACCTCGTTCACACCCACCATCCCAAACTCCAGGGCCTCGGCCGTCTTCCATGCCCTGGCCAGGTCCTGCGGCGGAGGGCAGGGGGGGAGAGGGGCTGGGTCGATGACGGCGCGGGCGGGGGCGAGGACGGCGCGGGCGGGGGCGATGGCGACCTTGGCAGCATTGGGAACTCCCTCGCCACGGATAACCCATGCCTTGCCTCTCAACACCCTTCACCTCCCGGTCCCCACCCCTGCATGCCACCTTGGTGTAGAAGTAGGCAGCCAGGCCGTACTCGGTGGTGTTTGCCATCTGGATGGCCTCCTCGTCGGTAGAGAACTTGAACACCGGGGTTACGGGGCCAAACATCTCCTCGCGGAAGCAGCGCATGTCGATGGTCGCCCCTGCAGTCGTGACCGGGAGAGGGGCCGCCATGTAGGGCAGGAAGGCGTTACTAAGGTCGAATGTGTATGCACACTTTCGCAGGGCATACTTGGCCGGCACCGCTGCCCCACATCCCTGCAGCTTGCGCGCCCCAGTAGCTTCCACGCCCGCCACCACCATTGCGCGCCCCCCCGCACCCCCCTCCCAAGCTCCCACTCAGCATGCCTGTCAGCACGGTTGGCTCGTAGAAGCTGCCCTTGCTCAGAGGGTGGCTGGCGTCATACTCTGGACGCTTCCCCCCGACAGCCACAGTTGCCCCCTTGGAGATGGCGTCCTGCACCTTGGCCTCCACCTGCGGGGGAAGGGGTGCAGGACCAGGAAGATAACCCTGTTGGTGGCAGTCTGTGCCTCACATGACGGCAAAAGGCTTGCAGCTGCGCCTGGAGTGCTGCGCACACGCTGCACATCCCTGTTTCCGAGCAGGAAAGCGCCCCACTGCACCAGCCCACCGTCTCGACGGCAGAGTGCTGGATGAGCGGGCCGTGGGTGGTCGCCGCGTCCATGCCGGCGCCCACGCGCAGCTTCTGCACTGCTTCCACCAGCTCCTTCACAAAGTCGTCGTGCACAGACTCCTGGACCATCAGGGACAGCGTGCGCGAGGCAGGGGGCTGAGTGATTGTGGGCACTGGTTGATGCGAGGCTCACGCTTTTTGAACAGGCGGGCAGGATGACCACCATGGCTCGCCAAAACGCCGTGGCCAGGCGTCCCTGTGCTGCCTCCCGCCCACACTCCCCCTGGCGTTGATTAGAGTGCATGGCCCATGCGACCCAGACCCGGATCCCACCATCCCGCCCCGTCCTCACGTGCACAAAGACGCGGTTGGTGCAGATGCAGGTTTGGCCGGCATTGCGGTAGGACGACGTCGTCACCGCCGCCGCGGCCTGGGCCAGGTCTGGGTGGCGAGGAGGACCACGCAGGTTTCTTAGAATGATGAGGTAGCCTTGGTCACATGTGCGGCCAGGGTGTTATGCCTCTGGCGACGGCTGAAAAGCCAGAGCCTGATCAGGGAGGCATGGGTGATCCACCCCCCCCCCGCCCTTCTCCCACCCCCGGGAATGCACCTGCGTCCTGGAAGACGATGAAGGGCGCATTTCCCCCGAGCTCCATGGACACCTTCTTCATCGTGGCCGCAGACCCCGCCATGAGCAGCTTGCCCACGCGGGTGGACCCTGTAAAGGCGATCTTGCGCACCTGAACAGCGCGAAGGGATGTGGGGACTTGGGGGTGGGCGGGGGGGAGGAAGGCCAGCAGTGCCTGTCTGAGATGGAGGGGTCCCATGCGACGGTGAGGGTGGGCGCAGCATCCTGGCACAGCTCCGGCCCTCCCGGCAGCCCCACGCTGCACCGCGTGGCAACACTGCAAGAGCATCACGGGGCGCCACCAGAGGGGCACGCCACAACAAACGGCCGCCAGACTCGGCCAACGCTGTGGCATGGCGGTCCCCCCCCCCAACCCACCACCACACCATCCCCGCCAGCGCGCGGCACCCACGTCATCGCTCTTCACGAGCTCGTCCCCGATGCTCTTGGCATCCCCCACCACGATGTTGAGCACGCCGCGCGGCATGCCGGCCCGATCCGCCAGCTCGGCCAGGGCCAGGGCGGTGAGCGGCGTCAGCTCGCTGGGCTTCAGCACCACCTGCAGGCAACGGCGACGAGGGCCGTGTGGGTGGACGGGCTCGCAGCATGCGTGCCCGGGGCCATGTGGATGGCGTGGGCCGGGCTGGTTGGCGACTGCATCACAGGAATCACCCGACCGGCTCCAGAGTGTGGCTACCTCGCACTCCGGCCGGCGTCGACCCTTTGCTCCAAAGGCGCTCAGGCAAGGGGCTGCAGGAACCAGCCCCAGGGGCAAGACAACCCCTGGTGCTGGTCCCCACGACCAGGGTCCAGCGCCCGGCACCCGCCGCTCTCAGCCCCCCACCCCAACAAGCACCCAACATTCCCACCCACCGTGCATCCGGCCGCCAGGGCGGGCGACACCTTGCGCGTGATCATGGAGAAGGGGAAGTTCCAGGGCGTGATGGCGCCCACGACGCCCACCGGCTGCCTCACCACCAGGAAGCGCTTGGAGGCGGCGGGCGTGCAGATCACGTCGCCGTCCACGCGCTTGGCTTCCTCGGCGCACCACTCCATGGTGGAGATCCTGGGGTTATGCGGGAGGGGGCGGGGGTGTGCATCAGGGCCGGGCGCCTGCTGCGGACAGGTGCACGCCGCAGCCACGCCGCGTCCTGAACCCGGGCACCCGCCTGCGGGCACGGAGGGCGGCAGCAGCCCTCCCGGTCCCTGCATTACACACCCACAGACACGCTGTGTGCCTGCCTCCAGCCATGCAACACTGCAGGGCGCTCACCCGCTCTCAAACTCCCCCTTTGACTGGGCCAGGGGCTTCCCGCACTCCAGGGTCATCAGTGTGGTGATGTCCTCCTGGTTGTCGCGCACCAGCTCAAACCACCTTGCCGGGGGGCGTATGACCCGGTGAAGGTCTCGGGACTGGCAATAGGAGCCTCTGCTCCCCCTTGAGTCTCGCTGGCGGGCGTTTGGGTCGAGAGTGCCCCTCTGCATGGACGTCCGCCCACCCCCCCACCCACCCGTTATCCACACCCCCAAAGGGACGTACTTCCTGAGGATCTGCGACCGCTCCTTCCCTGTCTTTGCAGCCCAGGACTTGAAGACGGAGGAGGCCTCGGCGATGGCGGCACGCGTCTCGCTGCCCTTGCAGTGGGACAGTGAGGCCAGGGTCTCCCCTGTGGCGGGGTCGTGCACCTGGAGGGGAGCAAGAATGGGCACAGATCTGCGAGTGTCGCACGTGTGTCGGCATGGAACATCGGCAGTCATCGCCGCGCATCCTGTCCCCACTCACATCGATGCGCTCCTCATCGCTGGCGTCCACCCAGCTGCCTCCGATGAAGGACTGGCTCTTGAGCAGGGTGGGATCCTTCAATCGCTGGACGAGCTCCTTGTGTGCCGCTGTGGGTTCCCATGCCTTCGAACCCAGCATCCTCACGCCGGCCAGGGGGATGCAAGAGTTCCTTCCGATTTGGAATACCGCCCGTGCCCCGGCCATGCGGGTGCAGAAGGAATACGGTGACACGCGCGCCGCAGTGTATCCTACTCGCCGAAGATAGATGGGACTTGCAAAGGTATTTTGCAGTTTGTCGGGTTGGAGGGAGCATTCGCTCGAGTCAGGTTGGGTAGGGTTTCGGAGCAGGTCCACGTCACCGCGGATGGCTCATCGAGTTGGGCGCCTGGAAGCAAGGGCCCCATGTCCTAGTCACAGGAGATGGCCCACCCCTAGCTTGCCACCCCTGATTCAGCAATAAACTTCACCACGAATCATTCAGCAATGAGCGCAGCTCATTTAAATGGGCCCTGCTCAACAAAAACCTGCTGGGAGGCCAGGGCATCTACAGCCCAGTCCCCTGCCTCCACCCTCAGGCTGGGCAGGGGGAGCAGGCCCACATGGTACGGCACCAGCGTCAGTCGCACGGCCTCCTTGGCTCCCGGTCCGATGTGCGTGACAGCGCTTCGCACGCCTGCACAAGGGAGCATCATGCGGTGTGTGTATCCCTGGCTGTGGAGCATTGTGCCAGGGTCTGAATGCTCTCAGGGAGCATGCCTGTGGCGCACGCTGAGCGGGGGAACCGCCTGGAGACCTTGGGCCTCACGGGGCAACAAGTCTTCGACTTTGGTACAGTATGAGGCTTCCAGAATCCCAAATGGTGTGGGCCGACATGAGCATTCCGCCCTCCCACATCCGCGTCGCACCACGTCCCTCCTCGATGCCATGCATCGCACACCCTGGCAAAGTTACCCCGGCCCAAGCCTTCGCTCCTCCCCACCAACCCCCAGCAGAGGAGCCGGGGGTGACTGCTCACCGGCTACCATGAATCCACGTGCATCCAGCAGCTCAAAGGACACGTCAGCGCCTCGCTCCACGCTGGGATTCTGGATCTCCAGGCTCAGGGGCAGGGGCTGCCCCAGCTGGCCCGACCCCGGGAAGGCCGCGTCCACCCGCAAGTCTGCCACCACGAGCTCCACTGCGCGGCACGGGCGGTGGGCGAGGTGGTGTGCTGTGCTTGGGCTGTGACCTCTCGGCATGCAGCGGCCTTGCATGAAGCAAGCCAGCGGGAGTGGTTGGCCACCATGCCAGCCACACACCCTGTCCGGGGCAGCGTCCCTCCCTCTGACACCACAGCCATCCTTTCATTGCCCTGGACATGTGCCATGCCCGCTCTCATCCCCCTCGACACTCTGCGCTTGCTCACCCATGCTCCCCAGGTCCGAGACCGTCTCCACCTCCTCGCACGGCACTGAGGGCGCCAGCGCGTGCAGGCGCTCCAGCTCGGCGGCGCCCAGGGCCTCCCCGCCCCGCCCCGCGCTGCTCTGCAGGGCCACCGCTTCGTCGCACCGTCGCCAGCGTGCGTGCAGCGTGCCCAGCGCGCACCGCCCGGCCGGCGCAGCAAAGGACGCGACCAGGGCCAGGGCGTCGTCGGGCGCGGCGTCAATCGGGCCGCAGCGCGCGGCGGCGGAGGGGCCCGCGGCTGCGCCTCTGGCGCCGCGCAGCGCGGGGCTCAGGCGCAGCTCGCACAGCTCCACGTGGAGGCCGCAGGGGGCCGCGGCACGCAGCGTGAGGCGCACCATGCATGGCTGGCCGGCCGGCAGCCGCCGAGTTGCTGACGGGGCGCCGGCCGCAGGCACCGAAGATCGGGCCGCCCCGGCGACGGGCGAGTCGCCATGCTCTGGAAGGACATCGCTGGGACTGCTCGGCAGGGGAGCCCCAGCCTCCCCGGGAGGCAGGCGGCACAGGGCGCCAGGGAGCGTGGATAGGGTGGTCTGGAACGTGAAGGGGGCGTGCACCTTGATCGTGCCGGCCACCACACAGTGGCCGACCTGTCCCGCAGCCCCCGCCGGCACTGGGTACTGTGGGGCAGGGGACGGGCGGAGCGGGGGGGGTGAAGAGGGGGGGGCTCAAGGGGCACGGCAAGGGAGAGTGGGGACGCTCACAACCCTGGCGCGGACTCTGCTGCATGAAGCAAGGAGAACAAGCACAGCGTGACCCCCCACCCATCCACACGCCTCAGCGGTCAACCTTCCCGCACCGACCCAGCCCCAGCACCTGCAAGAGACAGCGCAGGTCGATGCTCCCGGCATGCTGCGACGTCCAGCGCAGCTTCACCACGAGCATGGCCCCCGGGGCCACAGTCGGCAGCGCCACGCCGCCGTCTGACAGAGGGGCGACCTCCGCCCCCTCTATGTGAATGGCCCAGTCCACCGGCCGCCCCTCCTCACGATGCAGGGACTGGTGGGGGTTCGGGGGGTGGAGGAAGGAGCTTGGGTTTGCAGTGGGCACGATGCCACCCTCCCATCCCTGGAGTGCGGCATGCGCTTTCCCTCCCCCCCCCCTCCAACCCCCTCCCCCCCCACACACAATAAGTAAGGCTCACCCTTGGTGTGAGCACGGCGCCCTGCAGCCCCTGGGCCTCGCCGGCATGCAGCGTGAGCAGCGCCGTCAGCCCCTCGCCCACCAGCCCAAAGGCAGGAGCATGCAGCGCGAGCGTGGGGAGGTCGTCGTGCCCGACCGGCGCAGGGCCGCCGGTCGCGGCGCCCAGCAGGGCGACAGACGGCGGCAGAGGGGCCTGGTTGAGCGAGGGGATAGAGCTGGCGGGACCGAGGGCGAGCGTACACTCCCCCGACGTCCATGCGGCGGGGTGGATGACCAGCGTCTGGCCGCCGCCCGCCAGGGTAAGGAGGATCCTCTCCACGGAGGCGCAAGTCACAGGCAGGCGGGCGGTCAACCTGGTCCAGCTTCCCGCGGCGAGCTCCAGCACGCCTGCCGGCGCGGCGCCGCCGTCGGCGTCGCGGCCTACCAGCGGCACCGCCTCGGACCCGGGCCGGCCGGGCAGGGCGGCCACGGCCTCCAGGCGCAGCGGGCAGGCCAGCACGCAGCGCAGCGCGCAGTGCAGCTCGGGCCCGCCCCGGCGGGCTGCAGGTCCCAGTCCGACGGCGATCTGCAGCACGGAGAGCCAGCCGCTGGACGCGCCCTCCACCTGCCACATGGTGCCCGGCGGGGTGGCCAGCACCGCGCCGATGGCCTCCATGCAGGATTCCGCGGGCGCGCCGCGCAGGGCGCACAGCTCCAGCTGCGCCGCTGCGCGGGCCTGCGGGTGAGGCGGAGCATGTCATCGAGTCAGTGGGATTTGGGGGACACAGAACCATCAAAGCGCTGTGCAGGCCGACACAGCGTGGCGCCTGTCCGCCTCAGACCCTCCCCCTCCCCCCACGACCCTTGCCTGCTCGTCGCCGCTGAGCCGGGCCGAGGCCTCGCACTGCTTGACAGCATCCAGCAGCAGAGACGCCCAGCCCTGGCGCCGATACTCCTCTGGGGGATGGGAGGCAGAGTGGGAAGGGGATGAGGCCCAGGTCCGTCGGGAGGTTGCAGAAGCGCAGGCCCAAGTCGGCTCCGGATAGCATGGCGGAACGAGCCAAGGGAAAGTGGATAGACAGGGAGGGAAATTGACCGAGCCTAACAGCAGTGAGCATCGGCCTGCTGAGCCCATTGCGCCCTGGCATCGGACCCGCGAGCGACCATCTGTCCCCTCGCAATGCACCACACACACGCTGCCAGCGGTGTGCATGCAAACCCATACCTGCGACGCCGGGCATCACCGCAAGGGCCTCGGCGTGCCTGCCGGCCCGCGCCAGCCCCTGCCCCAGCAGCTGGCGAGCATGCACGAGCTGGCGGCGGATGCCCGCCGCCGGCGAGCTCTCCAGCAGATCCACAGCGCACCTGAGGAGGTCTGTGGGGTCGGGGCAGCGGGGCGCGCGCCCCAGGCTCGCCTGCACGCAGGCGTGGAGTGGGAGGGGAGGCAGGCTGTGGGTGCGAGCGGCTGTGAGATGCACATCAGGCCCGAGGGGCCTGCTTGATCTCTTCCAGGGTCTCGTCCGGTCATCAAAAGACCCCCTCCACCACTGCCCCCCACACACAGCATCTGCCTACACCACGGCCGGCCTCGCCATGCTCACCCCGACAGCGGTGGCAAACTCGTCGTCTGTGAGGGGACGGTCCAGGTGCTTGAACTCCCAGCACCCCAGGTACTGGCCAGGCACCACCTGGGTGACGGGGATGATGGCCACGGAGTGGGCTGAGAGTGACGCCCCGCCACGCATCCCCCATAGAGCAGGGGCCGGGAAGAGGATGAGGCTTGCCCACAGACGTGAACACGTGGCATCCCAGGCGCTCGCCCACCTCATCCGTCATCACTGGACTGGGACCCTCGTCCGGCTGCCGGGAGAGAGCGTCCGCCTCCCCTGCATGCCTGGCCGCAGCATGGAGCAGCGCCGCGACGCTGCCCAGGCCACGCTCCTGGCCCTGGGGAAGAAAGCGAGGACGGTGTGCGGGGGGATGGGGAGGCAGCACAGGGAGAGGGCAAGCCGATGCCAAGCCCTGCGCGGCGAGTTTCCAATCCGCGGGCCGCGGGGCAGCCGCCCTCCTGGGCATTGCAATCCACAGGTCTGGGAAGGAAGCCCATGGGCAAGGTGCCTGCCCCTGTCCCAACCCACCGGCGCAGGCCTTCCTATCAGGTGACCGGCCACGGCCTCGTGCTGAAGCGCCAGACGCTGCGCGTGGGCCAGCGCCAGGGCCCTGCACGGCATTCATTGCGTTGAGAGTGCGATTCAATACTGTCCCCATCCTCCCTCGGCGCACCGGGTTCTGTGTCGAATCCTACCAAATCACACAAACCAGCATGCCCACCCCAGGTCACGAGACAACTACACCCCGACAGGCGTCTTACTTCGGCGTGCGGGCACTGGGCAGGGTGCCGAAGAGGGAGGTGAGCCTGGTAAAGTGCTTCAGCACGGTGTCCTGGTGGCGGGGCGAGGGGGGCACCAGCGCCATCAGCTGCATGGTATGGGGAGAGGGGGGGCGAGTTGGCGATCGCGACCGCAGACCGGTTCCCAAATTTGGCGCAAACGATCTGGCATAAGCCCAGCTCCTCATGCTATGGATCCCGGGGCAACCCCCAGCAACCCAGGCTGCGTCCCAGGCCCTCCATGAAAAGCCTGGGCGCCCTGCCTTGAAGGTGAGGGCCTCGGAGACGAGGTGCAGCTCGAAGAAGCGCTGGAACAGGCCGGGTGGCTGGATCATGATCTGGTGCATGGTATGGAGCGGGTGAGTTCAGAGGGCCTGCAGGAGCACTCCCGCCCTGGGTGCCCCTGGCGCAGGCCCTGCGAGTGACGCCGAGCATGCTACGACTGGGCCTCCCCCCAGCGAAGCAGGCCTCGACGCACCCTGGGTATGAAGGAGGATGCCAGCTCGTACGCCGTCATTGCTTCGTCGGGGCGGCCCCCCATCTCCAGCAGTAGACCCAGCTGGGAGGTGGTTGGGGTTGGGTGTAATTTTCAGCATGGAGGAGTGGGTGATCTGCAGCCGATGGCCACTGGTTGATCGATTCTGTTTGTGCACGCCCAGCTTTTCTTCCAAGAGCATCTTTGACCATGGGCGGGGCAGCCACTGCCACCTTCCCCACCCCCAGCCCTGGATCCTGCACCACAGCGGGAGCCTCACCCGGCTGACCCAAAAGAGTTCCCTACTCACATCCAGCTTCAGGCCAAGAACTCGGCCGCACTCCTGCCCGGCCACCGTGGTTGGGGGGTGCTTGCTGGCATGGCGCACGGCCGCGTCCAGGTAGCTGGTCTGTGCGGCTTGCACCAGCGTGCTGAGCACGCCCGCCATCCCCACCTGATCCCTCATGTGCAAGGCCAGGATGCTCCTGCTCAATGGGGGGGAGGGTGGTGGCATGCTGAGGGACAGGACAGGTCAAGACTCAACTTTCTCATCAAGTCACAATAACCTTGGGTCTGCGCCGAGGCGGGGGGGACCGGTGCAGGCCTCCACGCAATGCAATGACCTGATCGCCTCCACCAGATTCATCTCTACCTCACAAGCTGCCGCCCCAGGACCCGAGCATGCCTAAAACCATGCACCAACTCAGCACCCACTTCCTGTCGACGTCCGCCTGACGGCAGAGCATGCTGATCCTGTCCTCGGCCAGCTGGCCTGGCGCCGTGGGGCTGGTCACCACAACCATCAGCCTGGCCTGCAGGGTGCGTGCCGCCGTCCTTGCGGCGGCAGCGGCCTGGGAGCACGTCGCCCATGCCTTGGGGTCCCCCATCACGTCGCCGTGGCGCAGCAGCACAGCCAGTGCCCCTGGCGTGTGCCGCATCAGCGCCTCAAAGCTGTGCTGCTGCATTTGTGCCGGCGAGAGTGCGAGTCGGGTGTGGGTGACCGGCCTGCAAGCCCTTTGGCCCATCCCAGGGGTATGAGAGGCACGCAGCGCCTCTCATGATACCACTGTCGGGTGACAACCCACCTTGTAGACCTGCGAGTATGATTTTCGCGTGACAGGTTCCGAGGGGCTGGGTGGGCGAGGCCCTGGAGGGGCGGCAGCAGTGAGGATGGGTTGGGCTGATGGGTTTCAGGGTGCAACGCATGCTTCAGCTTACCATCTGTCCAGGCCTTCCGACACATGTAGACAAACGAGTTTCACGGTGCATGCGATTGGATACCAACAGGTCAACTTCGGCAAGCTAAAACTCGACGCACACCTAGGACCTCCGGGCTCTGCTGGGCATCTGGCACCGTGATCAGGCGCACCGCGGGGCTTTCATCCGTGGCAGCCAGGGCGATGAGGAGTTGCTGCGTCTCCAGATCCCCGAGCAGGCCTACCACCGGTAGGGGCGGATCCTGGAAGCCTTCAAACTCCATGGGCCTTCCTGCTCTCCCTCGCGGTGGGAGACCTCCACCTGTTGCCAGGACTGACACGTATTGAGGCAACTAGGTTTCGGTGTTGTTAAGATCAATCATGCTGCTTAGGGGCGTAAAAACACAGCGTCGATAATCAGGCGCGATCACCCAGCTCCAAGGGGCTGTAGAATCGAAGTCGCGCGCGAGCTCTGCGCCGGGAGTCCCGGAGACACGCGTCTCCTAGTCATGTTCCATGAGACTAAAAATCCGACCGATCGGTGGAAGCCACTTTTCCGAATCATCCAAGCATTGGTGATCGAACCGAATCGCATCACTGCCTTCGAAGAGGCGCCGGTACAGGGTGCACGGTGGGTCTCGAAACAGGCCGCGGGCATCGCACGGGACGCAAATTTCCATCTTGACCTGGAGTTCAACGCCCGGCACTTTGATCTTTGGGCATCCAGATCCGTCGTTACCAGCCATGGCAGCAATTCTGCGGGCCCCAGGCTTGGGAGCAGTCTGGGGCACCGTGCGCGGCCTGGCCACCGCGGTCCGACAGGCGGAACCGGCCACCGCTGGTCTCGATGCCAAGCAGATGAATCTCTGCTCGGCCGTCAATGACGCACTGCACATCGCCATGGATGAGAATCCCAAGTGAGTCCTGAATGTTGCTTCCTGCCAGATTCAAGACCCGCACTGGCAGCAAAGCTGGTGGACCACTTCTGTGGCCCCTCCACTGCTGTAGGACGCTTGTATTTGGGGAGGACGTCAGCTTTGGCGGCGTGTTTCGGTGCACTGTGGGCCTCGCAGAGAAGCATGGGAAGCATCGTGTATTCAACACCCCCCTCTGCGAGCAGGTGAGGGCAGATCAGGGGGTCCTTGGCGTCATCATCCCCCGACTCTTTGAGTGCGAAGCCCCAAGCCATGCGCACATGTGCTGCACCTACGCTGATGCCCTCCCCCCCACCGCTTGCCTACTATCCAGGGCATAGTCGGCTTTGGCATTGGCGCCGCTGCTCAGGGCTACTCGCCCATCGTAGAGATCCAGTTTGCAGACTACATCTTCCCAGCTTTTGACCAGGTGTGCAGGCTTGATGAATGGGTAACAGCTGGCTTGAGGGTGTTGGAAAAGACGCGCTGAGGGCTTGCCTTGGAAATGATATCCTTGCTAGCCAGACCAGTAAATGTCCACACGCGTGCCCCCCTTGCCAGATCACCAACGAGGCGGCCAAGTATCGGTTCCGGTCTGGCGGAGAGTTTGACGTGGGGGGTCTCACCATCCGCACACCCTACGGTAGGGGGGGTTTATGAAGTTCTGAGGAAATGCAGTGGGTGTTGAAATTGCAGGGCACGATGTGCGACCCTGGAATTGGTGCATCCAATCCCGCACATGTGTGCTGCGGACTATTTTCTTGCAGCTGCAGGGCCATCCTGCCAGCTTTTATGTATGAACAGCAGCTTCAGCATGCCGCAAGAACAGATGTCCACCTCTCCACAATCTGTGCAGGCGCTGTGGGGCATGGGGGCCACTACCACTCGCAGTCCCCCGAGGCCTTCTTCACGCACATCCCCGGAATCAAGGTGGTGATGCCCTCTGGTCCCCGCGAAACCAAAGGTGGGCGGGGTTCAGCGTCGTGGTCCGTGTCTTCAAGCGGCCTCTTGCCGCTGACCCGCAGATGATGCGGCAAGTCTGTGCGACAGGTTGCCACTCCTCCGAAACGAGGACTGTCCTGAGGATGTCGCTGATACTAGCCTGCCAGGAGGGCTGTGTGGCTTCTGGCTCTCCACTGCACACACCTTCCCCTCTGCCGATTTCCTAACCCTTCCCCCAAAGGCCTACTCCTGTCGGCCATCCGTGACCCAAACCCCGTCGTGGTCTTCGAGGCCAAGATGCTGTACCGCACGGCGGTGGAGGACGTCCCCACCGGCGACTATTCCATCCCGCTGGGCCGGGCGCGGATTGCCCGCGCCGGCAGCGACGTCACGCTCGTCGGCTGGGGCCAGCAGGTCCTGGTGCTGGAGCAAGCCGTGAGCGCTGGGGTTGGTGTTGGCTGGGTGGGCTGGAGAATGTGAGTCGAGCACGTGCACCGCCAGGCCCTCTGTCTGACGTGTCCCTGGTCAGCGCGCCGGCTTGCGCGTGGTTCCCGAGGCAGTGCCCCACCCAATCACGTGCCAGGCCAAGGAGCTGGCGGCCTCCGACGGCATCGAGGCCGAGGTGATCGACCTGCGCACGCTGCTGCCCTGGGACGCAGACGCGGTGGCTGCCTCCGTCGAAAAGACCGGGAGGTGGGTGCTGGGACCATGGCACTCACAAGTCGTGATTGAAAGGCCACGGGCACACCGGGGTGGTCGAGGGCCGCGCAGGGCCCCGTCCGCGCCTGCAGTCTGTGCTGGGATGGGCATGGCAAGGCTCGTGGTCAGTGCTTGGGAGGGGCCCAGTGGGCACATCACGGTGGGGACAGCCCCCCCAAACACGACCTGCCAGTGGCTACCACGACACTCCCCGGCGGGCCAGTCACCTGACGTCCCCCTTCCTCCAACACGAGGACCCCGCGTGCGCCCGTATACACAGGCTGGTGGTGAGTCACGAGGCCCCGCTGACGTCCGGGTTCGGCGCGGAGATCGTCGCCGCCATCTCCGACCGCTGCTTCTACTCCCTGGAGGCCCCGCCGCTGCGCATCGCGGGCTACGACACGCCCTTCCCCCTGGTCTGCGAGCCCCTGTACCTCCCCGGCGTGCAGCGGGTGGTGGATGGCGTGCGCCGGCTGCTCCGCGCCTGACGCGGGCCGGGGAGCGGTGCCCTGCTCGCCCCTGACTGCTGCCCACAGGCTGTTGCATTGATTCAGTGCGGCGCACGGTGCCAGGGTTTCAGGGGCAGACAATGCGGTGGAGCACTGCGTGCACATACAGGGTACAATTCAGCAAACGCATCACGGCTGGGAGGAGGGAGGAAGGGGGAATGTCATCACGGCCGAGCACATGGTGGGTGGGACGGGAGACCGGCGGGTGCGGATGCGCCGTGGAAACAAAGGGGCAGCAGGGTGATGGGGGTCCAGGGCTGTGGTCGCTTCGAGGGCGCCCGCCGCCGGCGCCAGGTTGGGGCGACGGTGTTCCCATGTCTGACGGGCCCCGCTCCCGATGCCCGCATCGCGCGAGGCCGACCCGCCACGGATCATGAGTGGGCGCGCCTCCCCCTGTCTCCGCTCAGCAAGGGGTGTCGGGGTCGGTGCTCAGCTCCTCCAGCGCAGCCTCGTGCCCCTCCCGCAGCACCTCGGCAAAGGCGTCGGCGAGGGTGAACATGCGGTGGTGCGCCAGCATGGAGGGCGCCAGCAGGATGCCCTCGCCCATGAGCGTGGCGGCGTCCACCCACACCGCGTCCCAGGTGTGAGCCACGCCCTGGCCCTTGAAGGGGCGCAGGAAGATGAGGCGGCCGGGGGGGTACAGCTCCGGCTGGCTGGCGGCGTGGAGGTGGGAGGTGGCGTGGTACTTCTCCAGCCGGCGCAGCACCTCGTCCGACAGCTCGTGTACGGGGCAGGAAGTCTGAGGCGGCTCGCGCCGCCCCCCCCCCGCCGCTTCAGCAGCAGGTCGCCGACGACCTTGAGCTTGGGGCGCCGGCAGCGCGCCAGGGACAGCACCATCTCGTCCACCACGCGCTTCATGTTGCTGAAGCACAGGCGGCTGATCACGTCCTTGCCCACCACGACGGAGGTGCAGAAGCGGCGCGCGAGCCGCGACAGGTTCCAGCTCAGCAGCCCGCCCGGCGGGTTGAAGGCCCAGCACTCCAGGTCGGGGAACTGGTCGCGCAGCTGAAAGGAGAGCATGCAGGCCACCGCCGCACCCAGCGAGTGCCCCGTCACCACCACGCGCCAGCCGCGCTTGCTGCGCAGGATGGCGCGCGCGACCGACAGCGGCGGCGGCTCCGCGCCGCTTCTGCCGCCGCGCGCGCCGGACGACGCCCACGACGCCTCGTCCTCCTCCCCGGCCGGCGGGGAGGGGGCGCCGGCCCCCCTCGCCCGCGCCGGCCCCGCCGAGGCGTAGCGCGACATGCGCTGCGCTGCGGGGCCCGTGCAAGCGCCGCGCTCCTCTGTGATGTCATCGGCGGGGGTCCCCGCCGCGTGCTCCAGCCGCGCCAGCAGCAGCTCCTGGGAGTGGTGGGGAGTGGAAGGGGCGTGAGCAGTGTGTGCAGGCGTGCGAGGGGGAGGCCCTTGTCCAGCCCCCCCACCCAAGGCACCCACCCACCCAAGGCACCCACCCACGCATGCCACCCCCCACCCAAGGCACCCACCCACGCATGACACCCACCCAGGCATGACACCCACCCAGGCAAGACACCCACCCAGGCAAGACACCCCAGACACCTCCCCACCCACCCCAGACACCCACACCCAGCCACCTTGAGCAGGCCGTGCTCGTCCAGGTCCTGGAGCACGGCGGTGGCGGAGGAGACGATGCCGGCGTGGGCGTAGAGGGGCTTCCCGCCCTCGTTGGCGTCCAGCACCCAGTCCGGCAGCCACTCCGACACGTCGATGGGCGCGGAGAGCAGGTCGGTGATGAGGTCCTCCATGGTCACCGTGCCGCGAAGGGCCAGCACCACGGAGCGCGACTCGCGGTGCAGGGCGATGGCGTAGGGCAGCGCCCCGCCCTGCGCGTTGGCGTAGGAGACGTGGAGCAGGTCCCCCCGCGCGATCCCCGCCACGCCCAGCATGGCCTCCAGGTTGCGCCGGCGCAGCGCCGGCTCCAAGCGCAGCGGCCCGCGCAGGCACTTGACCAGCATGTTGAGGTTGCCCATGCAGGCAGGGGGGCGCACGCCGCGGTTCCACACCACGCCCTGCAGCGCATAGGCGCCGACAGCGAAGCGCGAGACCAGGCGCGCGCGCTCCAGCACGGCGCGCTCCACGGGGCGCTGCGCGCCGGTGTACACCGCCGCCGCGGCGCGCAGGCCCACGCTGCGTGTCACGTGCCGCGGCAGGCCCACCGGCGTGAGCATGGGGTGGTAGCGGTGCGTGGCATGAAGGCGCAGGCGCGGGCGCAGCGGCGCGGCCGCGTCGCTGGCGCCGCCGTCGGGGCTGCCGCCGGAGGCGGAGGCGGAGCCGCAGTCGCTGCCGGCGCCGCCGCAGCCGCCCTCCTCCTCGTCTCCCTCGTCCATGCGCAGGATGGAGTGGCGGTACATGGGCAGCAGCGGCGCCCCTGCGCCCTCCTTCTCCGCGCCGCCGCACAGGCCCGGCATCCCCGCGTCGCCGTTACCGAGGCAGCCGGCTGAGGGCAGGCGCGCCACGGCCTCAGCGCCCACGCCCCCCGCCACGGCGTCGGGGCCGATGCCACCCAGTCGGCCGCGCCGCACGCCGCCGCCCGCGCCCAGCCAGCCCAGCAGGCGGTTGCGGGAGCGCGGGGCCGGGACCAGGCCCGTCGCCTCCAGCATGGCGGTGGCGTGCCGTCTGCGCTGCCGGTGCTGCGCCTCCGACACCAGGAAGGCGGCCAGGAAGCGGTCGGTGGGGTCCAGGTCGATGCCGCCAAACAGCATCTTCAGGGACAGCGCGATCTCGCGCTGCGCGGTGGCGTCCGAGCCGTCCAGTGCCGTCTGCTGCATCAGCGCGGTGCAGCAGCAGAGGCGGGATATGGACTTGAGGGACCCCTCCCACCCCTCCACATCCTCGTAGTCGGGGAAGGAGTTGAAGGCGATGTACACCGACAGCCTGGATCCGAGGGGGGCCGGGGAGGGAGGGGGATGGGGGTGCGGGGGGGTGGGGAGGGGGGGCGGGTGCGAGCCTGTGACATGCAGACCGGGCCTTGTAACCATTGCACACCCTGGGGCCCCCGCAGGGTGACGGGGCCGCCCTGGCCGCAGCCCTGGCTGCCCTGGGGAGACACTCTGCCAACCCTTCATGCACTCAGCTGCATCACAGACTCCC